ACTGTTCCTCGTATCGTGTCCATGCTCCTAAATATGGTGATCAATGCAGTCTCTGTGGAGGAAAGGAGCCCTTAGCTATCCTCCAATACTGAAAAACCTCATGATCTAAATATGTAAATGAGAACACCTGCTATAAATTGAACACCAACAACAAAAGAATATATTTTTAAAAAATTCCTACTAGAGATTTCACCATCATAAGTATTTGATTTGATGGTGATAAGTAAACATTTACTGAGCACATATATTTTGTTCCAGGCGCTGTGACACAGTAGCCCCTACTTCCAGAAACTGAATCCAATGCTAAAGAAAGGGTCTTATAAGTCAGACCCTTAAAGCTCACAAGATAGATTGACACTGTGGCTGTGATGATGGGCTCAGGTATAGCAGGGATTGTGGGCTGGCGCGGGATCGGGCAGTGTTTTGTTCTGCTGTGCATGGGGTCGCTACGAGTCGGAAACTACTCGACGGCACTTAACAACAACAAACAACAAAATTTGCATATAAAACAGTTCAAGGATAATCTGCACGAGAGCAGAGTAATACATCCATTTCTGAGCTGCTATAGAAATCCAATGCACAATTCATTCTAATGAATCTGCCCCATCTGACATTGCTCTGTGTCCTCAATATAATTCGTACAAACACTGAGCCCCAGGAACCCCCTGTTAGGTTGGTTGTGAATCACTGTCTGAAACTCAGGAATTCCTAAACCTACTGCAGATAATGAGAAAAACATATAGCCAATAAAATATATACAGAGGCACTAGACCCTTCTAGGAAATCAAAACTCTGCAGGCAAAACACAGAATTCTTCCCTGAAAATGGGATTCTCTCTCTTTCTCTAGATCATCATGAAGGTGGAGAATAGACTACTATTCTGGATTAAGGATTATGTTTTTACAATAATGGAAAAAGTTTGGTGTCAATTTTGTAAATGCAGGCAGAGAAACATACTGCTGTTTGGCCCATGTGTCACCAGTATTAAGTGCCATCCTGGCTGCAAGGAAATAAATCTCTGGGATGCCACCATTTTAATGTCATTTGAGAAAATCAAATGGCTTAATACGCAAGGCAGCTGAATTTCCTACCTTTAAAGTCATTTCTGTGGGTGATTTTTTTTTTAAGTATATCTGAAAAATACTCAAATATCACCTAAGAGGGTGTCTTGGTTATCTATTGTTGCTGTTACAGAAATACCACAAGTGAATGTAGCTTTATAGAACAGAAATTTATTTTCTCACAGTTTAGGAAGTTAGAAGTCTGAATTCAGAGCACAGGCTCTAGGGGAAAGCTCTCTTTATGTCACCTTGGTGCACCAAGGTTCCTTGGTGATCTTCATGTGACATCTGTCTTCCCTTGTTTGAACTTCTTGTCTCTGTGTCTATGCTGCTTCTTATAACTCAAAGTGATTGGTTTATGACCCACCCTACACTCCTCAGAAGGAAGACTGGGCAATCTGCTTCCCTAGAGACACTGCCTCAGAAACCCAGGGAAGGGTCTCTATGAGTTGGGATTGATTGACTCAATGGCAGTGAGTTTGTTTGTTTGTTTGTTGTTTACATAGATATTTCCTCATTAATATAGCAAAGAATCCTATTGCCAAATGAGATTACATTCACATATTTAAGGGGGGCACAATTCTATCCACAACAAAAAGGTTAAGAAGAAATGTGAATTCATTCATCATCCACCTCAAATCATGAACTCTCAGAAGGAAGCCCACAGATCACCCCAAGGTCACACAATCATTAAATAGACAACAGAGGGGAGAAAAAAGCCCTGAACTCTTGAACCTTTCACCTGCCAGGCTCTTTCCTTACACAACTTTTGTTTTCTTCATATCTGAATAATAGATATGACACTGAATATTGCATTGCTCCATCCTTTGGTGGTGGTTTGTGTTACACATTTCTGTGCGGGCTCTAATTCCATGATTAGAATAAAACTCCCTGAGTGTTGTGATTTTTGTCTGCTTTGTATTGCTGGAGGCTAGACAACACCAGGCACATGGCAATGCTGAATAATTTTTTTTTAAATATAATGCATAAACACTTTGATTAACAAATGAACACAACCTTCTTGTCTTGAAGGGGACCAACCACTGGGTATGAAGTAGGGTTGAACCTTTGATAATAACAACATTTTTGCAGAATTTTTCTCCCTCAACTGAGATCACTGTAGGTGGGTGGCTTACTAAACCTCAGTGCTCCAGGAAAGCAAACATTCAGCTCTCTGAAAGCTCAGGGAAGGGCACGGTGGCACCAGGTACTTTTGTTACCCGGCCAAGGGACACTTCTTTTATTTTCTGAACTGGTTCATTCATTTCTAAGAAGAAAATAAAATAGTCTATGATTTGAGACTTGAATTTAGGGGTAGAAGTTTTCTTACTGAATCCTTTTCGTGGGCCATCAAATAGGTATCAAGCCCAAAGGCATCACTTTGAGAGAGTTCCTTTCTAAAGCAAGAAGAAAGGAAAAGAAAGAGAAAGAGAACTGGGTTAGCCCTAGAACAGCAAGGGCCTTTTTACCAGCCAAGTTTAGGCTACTTGACCTTACAAGCCTACAATAATGACTTCAGATGGAAGGAATGTGCAATGTCACCTAAGAAAACTGGATCTTGAATTGGGTAGTTTACCATTATCCAGCAATGAATTTAGTAATAACAATAACCCCAACTATAATAATGTTCTAGTTAGCTGCCCCCAAGTGGGCCCCCCACTCATGGTGACTTCATGTACAACATTGGGATCCATAGAGTTTTCACTGGCTGATTTTCACAAGTAGATATCAAGCCTTTCTTCCTAGCTCTTCTTAGTCTGGAAGCTCCACTGAAATCTCTTTAGCAACATAGTAACATACAAGCCTCCACAGACAGATAGGTGGTGACTACACATGAGGTTCATTGCCCAGGAATCAAACCCTGATTTCCAGCATGGAAGGTAAGAATTCTACCACTGAACCTCAAATGCCCCCATTTGTACACAGAAGGAAACAGGCTTAGAGAGTTATATCTAAAATCACCCAGCTAATAAGTACTGGAGCTAGAATTTGAACCCAGGTCTGTCTGATTTCTAAGTCTATGTTCATTCTGCTACACCACACGGCCTTTCTGTCATGCACAGTCTGACCATGAGGAAGACCCGAAACCTGTTAAGCATCACAGCAACATGCAAGCCTCCACTGATACGTGGGTGGTGACTGGACAAGAGGTTCATTGCCTAGGAATTGAACCCGAATCTCCCACACAGAAGGCAAGAATTCTACCACACCCCTACTGCCCACTAACAATAATAATGGCTAGATTTATTAAGCACTGATTATATGTCAGCCACTATTGCAGACAAGTTAAATGCATTAAACTCATTAAATCCCCACAAAAACCCTATGAGCTAGGTCCATTATTATCTCCATTGTGCAGACAAGGAAACCAGGACATAAATAAGTAACTTTTTCAAAGTCACCCTAAAACAGCTGGCAAAGGAAAAGCTCAAACCTAGACAACCTGACTTCAGGACTCATGTTACTCGATCATTTCTCTGCAAATATAACTCACTATAAACACTAGAAGGAGAATGTCATAATGGCACAAAATAACAAAATTAACATTGTTTAGAAGGCACCGAGTGCTAGCTCCTTTACCTGCATTATATCATTTAATTTTCACAACAAATGTATGATTATCTTTATTCTACAGATTTAAAAAAAACCCTGAGAATTAGAGGAGTCATAACTTGTCCAAGGTCAGTAGCTAATAAATGGCACAGTGAGTTCCTAAACTCTAGTCTGACTCCAGTGTTCACACTATTATGCACCACACCATGCTACCTCTCTGTTGGAAGCAATCGATAGTACTGTCCTAAGCAATCTACAGACAGCATGATGACGTGAAGAAAAGGTCTGCTTCATGCTCATAACCTCTTTTCCATAGACCACACATGACAGAAAGGCAGTACAGTGTAAAAGAATGAGCATAGACTTTGAAATCAGACAGACCTGGGTTTAAATTCTAGCTCTAGTATTTACTAGCTGGATGATTTTAGATATAACTCTCTGAGCCTGTTTCCTTTGGTATTCAAATGGGGATATGATGACTCTGGTGGTTCAGTGGTAGAGTTCCCACTTTACATGCTGGAGATATGGGTTCAAATCCTGGACAATGAACCTCATGGTCACCACTTGTCTGGCAGTGGAGACTTGCATGTTGCTATGATGCTGAACAGATTTCAGTGGAGTTTACAGACTAAGACTAGGAAGAAAGGCCTAGTAGATACTTCTGAAAATCAGCCAGTGAAAACCCTACAGATCACAATGGTCAGATTCATAACCTGTCATGGGGACAGCACATGATCAGACAGCTTTTCATTTTGGGCTGACCCCATTAAAAAAAAAAAAAAAAAACTCACTGCCAACGAGCCAATCCAGACTCATAGCAACCCCTCCTTGGGTTTCCAAGGTGCTAGCATAGTGCCTAAGGCACTTGACTGCTAACCAGAAGGCTGGCGGTTCAAACCCACCAGCTACTCCTTGGAAGGAAGGTTGGGCAATCCTACTTCTGTAGTGATACCATCTTGGAAACTCAAGGAGGAGTCACTATGAGTCGGGGCCGACTCAACGGCACATAACAACAACAACAACATTTCTACGAAAGTAGATTGCCCAATCTTCCTTCTGAGGAGTGGCTGGTGGGTTTGAACCGCCAGGCTTTTGGTTAGCAGTCAAATGCCTTAGGCACTATGCCACCAGGGCTGACCCCATAGCAGCTAACAAAAACACACAAACGGGAATTAAAATAATCAACTCTCATGGTTGCTACGCAGGCTACATGAGATAGCATGTGTATATGCTTGCTGGCCCCCATGAGACCCTCAATTCACCCATTTCCCCACAAACACTTGTATACTCATTTTCTTGAAGACAAAGGAGCCCCATGAGGCCATAGGAAATCTGTCTCCACTTGGGTGGTCTGCCTGCCTGTCTTAGGCTTAGGCTGAGTCATACCATCTTCTTAGCAAACACTGAAAGAAAAATTACAGAACTATGGGCTCTCTAGATGAGGACTAGTTTCCCTCAGCTCCCAGCCTTTGCCCTGGGAGCCAGCGGGAGTTGCCGCCTTGTTCAGCTCTGTTAATGAGCCACTAGGGTGGTAGAGAGACCAGCAGGGCATAAAACTATTACTGACATATGCCAATTTGGACTAACAGGCACCTAGGGCCTCCAGTGGGAATATCACAAAACCAATTAATGTCTTGGAAATTTTTAGATCAGTTGGAGATGGTCTTATTTTGTTTTCAGTTTTGGGTTTGTTTGGGTATTGTTGTTGTTGTTTTTCCCCATTTTTAACACTGCTGTTCAAACTCAAAGGCAGCTAGCAGGGACGTTTCACTACTAAAAAAGTAAATTAAAAAGCTGTGCTAAAATTCTGTTAGTATTTAAAAGCTCTGGGTGATAATTTTGCTTCTCAAGTCATTCCTTCTGTTCATATATACTCAGTCTCCTTTAGTCATATCTGGTCTATTCTGATCATTTTAAATGGTACTTAGTTAAACACAAATGGAAAAAATAATTTTTAAAAGCCTCGAGGGACAATTCTTTATGCAGAAATTTTCCTTATTTAATATTGCAGTCATATTCAAAAAGAATTTATTGTGGTTCAAAATCAGGGGCCAGCACACTACAGCCCACTAGCTAAATTCAGATTGCTGTCTCCTTTTATTTAAAAGGAAAAAAAAAAAAAAGTTTTATTGGAACATAGTCGTGTATATTCATTTACATATTGTCTGTGGCTAGCTTTTGTGCTACAGGGACAGAGTAAACATATACCAGCTGGACCCACAAAGCCTAAAGTATTTATATGGGGATCTTTACAAGAAAAGTTTGCCAACCCCTGCTCTAAGGCACATTCTAGGAACCAGAATTGTTCAAAGTATTTTACAGGGCTTATTCTGGGCAATCTATTCCCATAGTGATACTGCCTTGGAAACCCAAGGAGGGGTCGCTATGAGTCAGATTCGACTCTACAGCTGTGAATTTGGTTGTTTTTTTTTTTTTTTTTTTGGTTTATTCCTGCAATATTCCCTGGGTGGTGCAAACAGTTAGTGAACTTAGCTGCTAACTGAAAGGGGCACTCAGAAGTGCCCCTAAGAAAGACTTAGTGATCTATTTCCAAAAAATCAGCCCTTGAAAATCCTATGGAGAACAGTTCTACTCTGACGCACATGGGATTGCCATGAATAAATGTCAACTCAACAGCAACTGGATTTTGGTTTCGTCCTATAGTGATTATATAATTCTCTGTATTTATTTGCTCAGCACTGACTTGTCCTGTTCCATATAAGTTCTTTGAGTGGCAGGGCCTGTGTCTTTCTAGTTCAATACTATCTTACCAGGGACTGGGCACAAAGATTAGCACAGAGCAGACAAGAAGTAAATATTTGTTGACTGAATGAACTAAGCTGCTAGCTATATTTTGAACTTTTCATGGCCAGAAGAATACCTTGGTCTTGAGTCAAAACCTGACTCATGTTAAGTTCTCAAAAACTAAATGTTTTCTGAACAATCAACAGCATGGGCTCTACATTTAGAGACTGGATATATTCTGTATGGTATTTAGTGACCAAGACAAGCCCTTGTCTGTATTATGATGAATCTCTGCTATAGTATGCCATTTGAGTCCTTCCTCTCTCTAATTCCATAAAATTCTTCTCTGCCTCTAGCCCTAATAGTTTGGTCCTGATGATGCTAGTCTCTGGGTTCATTTGCAAACCTGATCCTCCACCCTGAGGAATCCATCTGCGACGAACAGCATGGCTCCCAATAGCCTCCAGGGCTCAGCTTGTGTTCAAGTCCATCATTCATCCCAAGACACATGGGCACTCAGCCCACCAACACTAACACTTATAAACACAAGAAACCAGAAGCAGATACCATTGGGAATGAGACAAATACCATTGAGAACTAGACCAAATGGAAGAGACCTCTGGCCTGCCATTCACAAATATTCTTTAGTTAGGTATGGAAGATGGTTTAATATGAACAAGAAAGACTCTCAGGGAGGCAGTAAGAAATGGAAAACTAACCAAGAGCTTGGGAGTCAGACAGACCTGGGTAGGAATCCAAGCTCCACTATTTACTTGCTATGTAAACATGATCCAATTAATTAATTCTTCTGAGATAAAAATTCCTGAACTGTCAAATAGGTATAAAATTATAAGTTTGCAAGGGCATTGAGATATATTTAAGGTGCATAACAGTGACAGAGCACCTCAGAAGAATGGATTGACAATCTCCTCAGAAAGGCCACTGCTTTGAAAATACTGTAAAGCAGTTCTACTCAGCACACAAAGGATGGCCATCAGTCAGAATCAACTCAAGGACAACTAATAGTGACAGGTCTATATAAATTTTACTTCTCCTCCCATTTGATATTTTTAATGTCCTAAGGGGAATGATCTTTGAAAATTTCCACTTACCGAGCATTCCTTTCTTGGAACTGGACAGACACATATCCTTCTCAGCACTGGGCAGGGCAAAAGCCACCACAAATACCTCTACTCCGTCAGCCATCAGGGCTAAACCCAAGACAAAAAAGAGGATCCACTGGAAGCGCCCATGCCCGCACTCTTCAATGATGGTCTCATACTGGTGGGCCAACTGCTCTTCATCCTCCATCTTCTCAGCCATCAAGTCTGCCTGGCTCCGAAGGCCATCCACCCTGGGGGCTGCCATCTTGGTCTGCTTGGCCTTGACATCATCTGGGTGGGGGATGCCCTGGTACTCACCCTCATAGATCTCATCCTCCTCATCATGGCCTTCTGTAACATCACTCTGTGCATCCTCCTCTAGGTTAGACTCATTGCCATGATAATAGCCATCATTAGGGGCATAACGCTCATAGTTGTCTTGATACTTGTAGTCATCCATTCCTTGGTTCCAGGACTGTCTGGTTGCTTCTCGAGCTATATCCCTTGCACCATGGTAGAGGTTTGGGCTGTTGTGATAACCATCATCCATTCTATATGAGGAGGTTTAAATGTGGACTATGTTCATGTGACTTCTTGGGTTAAATTGACACCTGTATTCTCCCCCTTTTCTTCTCCAATGAACTTGATTTATGCAAAGGCAACCTAAATGTCCTTCTGTATTAAATGTCTATAGGAAGTCTTTAAAAAGTTTCAAGCTCTGGTTTAGTCTCCTTCAGTGACCGAGATGTGTTGTGGAGGTGTTGATGAAAACCAGGCCCAGCTGTTTTCCTTGACAAAGTGCGAGCAGGACTTGGCGGCTTGCTTGCTGGCCTGCTTTGTTCTGCTATGAAGGTCATGCCCTAGGAGTATACAGAAGGGAAAGAGAAAAGTTATAAAATGCTAAAAATCTGACAAAATACTCTTAGAATTAAACAAATATATGAATATAAGTGCTTCATATGCAAGGTGGAGGAAAACTTGATGAGATGATTGAATTCATCTGAAATGAATGACAAGATTAAATCAGTGGGATTGGAAGAGGAGAAAAGGACCTTTGAAAGCCTTTGAAGTTTTTATTAACCCATGAAAGAGGTCACATCTTACACAAGAATAAAATACAAAATGGTCAAGAGATTTTCAATACAAACTGAATTTGTGGTACAGATTTTCTGTTGTTGTGCTGTCAAGCCAATTCTGACTCATGGAGATGGATTTTCTGTCAGGATTTGTCAATCCTTTGGCAAAGCAGAGGTATATTACAGCCCAGCTTCTGAATTTGTTAAGAAGTGATTGTATAATCTCACATCTAGAAGTTTATGGTAAAGGAATATCTGAGACGATGTTTCCTGAGGCCTAGCATTGTGATCTAAAGGTCATTCTGACCTTGTGCTTGGCCTAAATGTACAGACGATTACATAAGCAGGAATGAGGCGCTGAAGACCCAAAGTGAGAGTGCTTGGGTCTGGAACTCGATTCTGCCACAAAATAGTTCTGTGACCACACAAATGTCTTTCTGAGCCTTAGTTTTCTTATCTGTAAATTAGGGATAACGATAACTATTAACTCACTGATATGATAATGATATAATCAACTCATTAGATTTTATATAAAGTGCTTAAACAGTGTCTGGCATGCATGTTAAACACTTTCCAAGCCTTGACATTATTGTTGCTTTTTTTCCTCTGGTTCCAATTCTAGAAACTGGAATCCTCTCTATTTCTAAAGCCAAGACCCTGCCCTTATCCCAATTCCGACCATTGGGTCCAAAAATCTCAGTTCTTAGATGTGAAACCACTGTTTATTAAATGCCTACTGTGTGCCAGAAACTGCTAAGTGTATCACTCCTTCATCCTTAATATGCATAATAATCCAGGAAAAAAAAACTACCTCAGACAGGTTTAATAATGTGATCAGGGTCACAACCTCAGGCCCACTGACCACAAAGTCAGTTCTTCCCATGGCCCCCATGTTTCCCAAATACTGCTCCAGTGATGGTAGCATTAGATCAGTTGGGGAGCTTCAGAAAAACAGATGCAGAAGGTCTGGGTTCAAGCTCAGGGGTCTGAGTTTTCATACAGCTCCCCCTAAGGCTCTAAGGTCCAGCCCTTGCTGAGCAGCCCATCAGGGGTAGAGTCCAGCCCTGGCCCCTCCTACTCCCCCTATCCCACTCCCAGTAAACTCTCTGCCAAGGATGGTTGCTTAGATTTCTCACATTGGGCCTGTCAGAAACCTACTCCTTCTGCCCAACCCACCCACCCTCACAGGCCATCTTGTCATCACTGGAAATCCTCGTGTCTTTTCACCCAGTTTAGCAGATATGGCGCCACAGCGTCAGCACACATGCCCCTGACATCAGTGTTGGACCCTCCCCCTCCCGGAGCGCATCCCTGGGCCACAGCCTCATACCTGCTGGCCTGGCTTTCCCCACCCTGAAGCCCTGGGCAGGCTCCAACTCTGGGACTCCTCTGACTCAGACAACACAATGCATTTCCTCTTGAGCAGATGCCAGGGGCCCAGAGTTCTCAAACCAGGGTATACCAGAAGCACTCAGGGGCTCCTTAGAAATGCAAACCCAAGGTCCCACTTCCAAAGACTCAAACCCCCACAGAGTAGGGGTGAGGCCTGGTAATCTGCATTTTCACAAACACAAGTAATTCCCACAGTAGGTAAAGACTACACTTTGAGAAACAGTGTCGTAGGAACCAGCAAGAAATATTTACTAAAAACTGACTCTCATTTCACCCTTTCACTATTCCCAGTAAATAAATTTATATTAGACCATGCTGGTCTGAACCATGTCAGATTAATATTCTAAAACTGTTTTTATTATATTCATTTAGGAACCACAGGAGGAACATAAATCACATATAAACAGCCTGAAAGTTTGCTACAAAAATGGATCAAGAATGCCAACTGCCTGACATTTGGTGTAATATTTCCATCCTGGGCCTCTGCAGGAAAAAAATAAAAAATGTCATGAACCAAAAATGATAAATTTGTAATTTTAATAAGAAATGTAAGAAATACTACTGAGGGCAAAAGTCCTGGGACTTGTTTTACAGAAAGAAGTAGATCTTTATCAAAATTAACTCCACTCCATGATTCAGTTAAATGAATCATTGTGAATGTCAAGTGAGTAAAGCAAAGGGGAATCATTGTCAAGTGTTTTATTATTATTATTACTCCTAGTTCATTGAGAAGTGTCAAGTCATTTTTTTTCCGCAAAGCATATTGTAGAGAATACATCTATCAATGTTTTTCAACACACCTAATGTTTATCAACTAAACAACAATAATAAAATGAATACAACAGCAACTATTAGCTGAGTTATACTAAACTAGTTCAAGGTGAGCATTTTATAAGCAATACATCTTTTACTCTCATTTCCAACCAGTGAGACAGGATTATTCTCTCCATTTCTCAGATGAAGAAACAGAAGGATAAGAAGATTAAAGAATGTGCCCAAATTAACATAGATAATAAGTATCAGGATCTGGTTATGAAGCCAAGTTCAAATAGAACATTGGGGATGATGTACAGTTTAAGAAACTGAGGATCCAAGGAGGTACGTCATGTAATCAAGGTCACATGCTGAGTTATTGTCAGAGCTAAGCTTGACTTTGGGCTTTTGACTCCCAAATTAAAGCTTGTTTGCCTGTCCTCTCTTTGATGCTTAAGGCATTGTATAAGGCCTAACATGAATCGGTCCTTGAACTCAGGCTATGGGTCTACCCCTCATGAGAGAGTTAGATTAAAAGAACACAAAGCACCATTACTATCTCAAGTATTAATAATATTATCTCTCATTTATTGAATATTGTCTCTTGACTTCATGCTATGTACCATTCTGAGCTGTATACCAACTGCTTTTCCACTTCACACACTTGTGAAACAGAGATTATTATTATACATTGTTTTGTATTGTTTACAGAGATTATTATTATACATTGTTTACATTATTATTTATTGTTTACCGAAAACAAGACTTAGGTTATAAAGGTTAGATAGATGGCCCAAGGTCACATAGCCAGTCAAAAAGAGCCTGTGCATTTAATTAACTACAGGTACACTTTGGAGATATTGTGGGTTCAGTTCCAGACTACCACAGTAAAGTGAATATCACAATAAAGTGAGTTGCATGAATTTTTTGGTTCCCCAGTGCATATAAAAGTTATGTTTATATTACTACACAAAAACATTGTTCTATATCCTGCTTTGGTGAGTAGCAACTCAGATCTTAAAAGCTTGCAAGCAGCCATATAGATACAATGATTATAGATACAATGATGGGTCTCTTCTCCTCCAGAGCAAGGAAGAATGAGGAAAACCAAAAACACATGGAAACAATTAGTCCAAGGGACTAGTAGACCATGTGATCTTCATCCTATATGACCACGAGACCAGAACTAGATGGTGTTCGGCTACCACTGTCAACCACTCAGAGGGGGATTGGTGCAGGAGATCCTGGATAGAATGGGAGAACAATGTGGAACAAAACCCAGAATCATTTTAAAAAAAGATCAGTTTTGCTGGTCTGATAGAGCCTAGTGAGATCCCTGAGACTATGGCCCCTAGCCACCCTTTAGGTCTGGAATTAAACTCACTCCTGTGGCATCCAGTTTATTATTTAGCCCATATGCCTAAACATTTACATCAGGTAGATACGCTGCTTGGAGCAATCAATCATGGGAGCACAGAACGGCAGTATTCACACAGGGAGACAGCTCAGCGGGCCGGAGTGCTTGGGAGGGAAAGACACAGGAAGGAGGTAACTACTGGGAGGAATCGGGAAGAGAGCTGTTACACTGTGGGGAATTGCAGTCACTGTCATGAGACAAAATGTTATGAACTGCCATATAGAAAATGAATTTGCTCTGTAAACTTTCACCCAAATCACACACACACACACACACACACACAAATTAAGTTATGTTTACATTATACTACACTGAGTGTGCAATAGCATTATGAAAAAGTTTGAAATATTATGAGAATTATCAAAATGTAACATAGAGACACAAAGTAGGCATATGCTGTTGGGAAAATGGCACCTATAGAACTTGCTTAATACGGGGTTACCACAAACTTTCAAATTATAAAACAAAACATATATATATATATCTGTGAAGTGCCATAAAGAAAAGCACCGTAAAATGAGGTATGCCTATATAGACATGGTAAGTTCTCCAAGGGGATTCAGAGGGAGGGGTCTTTGGGCTGGGATCTCCTAAAATAGCATCCTAGATCTCCAATCTTCCAACAGCAGAAAAAGGCTCAGAGAAGCAAACAAAGGAGAGGAGGACATTGTAGGCAGCAGAACAAGGATAAGCAAAGGCAAGAATAGCTTTGTTTGGGCAGTAATGAAGAGGTTAGTTGGTCTACTGCATATGATCCAAAAATGGAGCATTATGAGAGGTGCAATGGTGATGAAAATAGCAGTGGACCTGCTAAAAGGTTTGGATTTTCCTTTGAACAAGGGAAGTCAATAAATGTTCAAAAATAAATTTGAACAGTGTGGAGAGCTG